CGCTCGTGCGTCCGCTGCTCCGCTCGCCGCGCCGCCGGGCTCTGCGCGCCTTGGCCGCGCTGCCGTCGTCGCCTGCGGCCGGAGATCCGGGAACTGCCTGCAACCAGCCCGCGCTTCGCCGGCACTTTCCCCTGCCTCGTCTGTGGCTGTTTTCATTTTGTTTCACTCGGAAGAGGCGTCTCCCAAGCTTGATGTTAAAAAATCTTTGGTTTTTGTGTGATTGCTCTTTCTTTTGCGTCCGCCTTTTCTTTTTATTCCTTCCTCCCGCCCTCCCTTCCTCTTTCACCGCTTTCTTTCTCCCCATCCTTCCTCCTGTTTTGTTTCTCCCTACTTTCCCTCTTTTCCTCCCTGTCCTGCTTTCTTCCTCATCTTCTCTCTTCGCTGTTCCCTTCTCTCATCTCTTTCTCCTCTCTCCAGTGTCTCTTTTCTCTTCCTATTTCTCCCCCCGTGTCTTCTCTTATTTCTCCTCTCTGGCTCTCCTTCTTCTCTCTCTAGCTCTCAGTTTTTCTCAGTCTACGCAGAGAACAGTAGCCACCAACTTTAATTCTGACATCTAAAGTCCTCACTCCCTGTCACCTCGGCTTTCCCCGGCCCCTCTCCCACTCTGGGCTCCCTGGATGAAGGCTGTGTGGCCTGAAGGCACTGCCTGTGGAGGTTGACCTGGGGAAATTTCCTGGGCTCTCCCAGCACTCTTTCCGGGGCTCCTGGCCCCAGGTGAGAATTTTTTTTTCCCAGGCCGCCAGCCGGGCTTAGGGGAGTGGAGAACTGGCCGCCCTCGGCCTTGGCCTTACCCAGCTCAGAGAGTGCGGAAGGGGAAGAAGAAAAATGAATTACATCATCTCCATCTTTCAGAGGCTGGGTGCAAGTGTCCCCTACACTGTGACCATCCTCACCTAGTTTAAGGATGGAGGGTGCTTGGTAGTGAGAGTGAGCTGGGTATCAGGGCTGGAAGTGAAAGTGTTTGTGTGTGCTGTTTCTAGGAGCACACGCGCGCGTGTGCTGGACAGGTTGGGCTGTCAGAGGTCGCCCAGGCGCCCCAGCTTCCAGTCCTGGGCGGGCGCGCTCATCCAGCAGCTCCGCTCGTTTAGATTTCTGGAAAGAGTGGAGAGATTTATGCGGAACATTGAAAGTTTGTCAGGACATGTCTTTCAAATACACACCCCTTTTCCGACAGAAACCACCTCTGTCCCCTTTGAGCCTCACCCTGGACCCTTCTCCACATGCTTTATCGATAAGGCGGCTGGCTACCAGAGGCCCGGCACCCGCCGGCAGCAGGGGCATGGGGAGGCTCCCCAGAGGGTGGTTCCTACGGCCAGTAATCTGCACGTTCTCCTCCACTTCCCACCTGCCCAACGAGCGGAGGCAGGAGATTTGAGGGGGTGGCAGGAACCAATTCTCTGTGCTTCCTTCTTTCTCCAAGTTGTAAAAGATGAGCTTTATTCCGCAAACGCGGGTTCATGTCACGCACCAACACTTTCCTTCTTTCCCCACTCAGCCGTTGTCAGGTTAGGGTTGCTGATTACAGAATTTTCTCTCACGCGCAAACCCCAAACAAAACTTTCACACCTCTTTGTGGAGTTTGGGGGTCGCTCCTTGCACTTGCTGCGGAGCCTGGAGCGCGTCGGGACACGCGCTATATGTCACCCGCTGGGCCCAGGCACTTGAAGGGGAGTAGAGCGCACCCAGTGAACGTTTTTGGGGTAGGAAGGGTGGTGGTGTGGGATTCACGCGTGTGTATGGGATGCCTGGGGACGCGGGCCGGTGCTGGGCTTAGCCGTCTAACTGTGCGTCTTTGGCCGCAGCGGGGTGGGTCTGGCCCGGGCTCACTTTGAGAAGCAGCCTCCGTCCAATCTGCGGAAATCCAACTTCTTCCACTTCGTCCTGGCCCTCTACGACAGACAGGGTCAGCCCGTGGAGATCGAGAGAACAGCCTTTGTGGGGTTCGTGGAGAAGGAAAAAGTAAGTGGGTGCATGAGCCGCCGCCTTTCGCCCTAGCCTGGGGAGCTAGTCATTCTCGAGGGTGAAGTATCCCAAACACACTCCCGCGCGAGGTGCCCCAGGTCTCTTCCCGTCCTGGGCGAACCCGGGCTTCCCACCCGCGGCGCCTTGCTCTGGTGAAGTTCGCGCGGAGCCCCCAGAGCTGGAGGGAGGCGAGCCCGGCTCCGCGCTCGGGCGCCAGGGATTCCTGTTCACCCATCTCCAGTCTGTTAGCCACGCGCGGCTCTTGCCTGCGGCTCCTTAGGCTCCAAGCCCCAGGCCTTGGCAAGGGAAGCTCTCGGGCGCGCCCCTCAGACTTTTCCGGAAGGAGAGAGGGCGCAGCCGGGGTCTGAGGGCGGCGGGCAAGGTCATAGCTGGAAATTTCAACCTCCTTCGAGGCCTGGCTGGCCTCTGATCACGGGCTCCACACTTGGGGAAAGTTACTTCGAAGTTGACTCAGTTGCTCATACCACCTTTGTCCTCTGTCCCTTACGTCTGCGTGCCTGCTGCAACCCAGGAAGCCAACAGCGAAAAGACTAATAACGGGATTCACTATCGGCTCCAGCTCCTCTACAGCAATGGTGAGGTTCCCTTGGGTCTGCACACCTAATCGGGGCTTGGAGTCGGAGTCTAGGGAACGGGGAGATCCAGGAGGATGAGAGCCCCAACACATGATTACTAGTTATCCTGGGGTGAACCGGCCTCTCCCAAGCTTTGTTGGAGTAGTTTTCGCTCCTGAAAGTCCCGTGTGACGGTATCACTCGCGCGCGCGCACCTACGACCAGGTGTGGTGCCCTGACTGTCATCAAGTTCCATTCACTTTTCCTCCATTTCTGGAAATCTCTTCCCTCCCCTGGGCCAGGACTCCAGGCCCAAGGTCCTTAATCAGGGGCCTGAGAAACTGTCTCAGTCTGGATGGGTCCTCGAGAGTGCAGAGGGGCCGCTCACTTTGTAAGAAATCGTAGCCCCAAGTGGGGGTTCTGCCCCATTCCCAGCTGGAGCGCTGTGGGGACTGTTTCCTGGAGCTCTCCGAGAGGGTTAGGGAGGCCCTTACGTGGATCCAGGGGAGGAGGGTATTTGAAGGCCCCATCTTCCCTGGGGTTCCTTATTTTTTTCCATCTGATCTCTTCTTACTTAATTCTTCTTCGTTCGCCCCTTTCTCCCCCCTTAGGGATAAGGACGGAGCAGGATTTCTACGTGCGTCTCATTGACTCCATGACAAAACAAGTGAGTTTCTTAATTCTGCGCCGCTGCGGTGACTTCTAGGGACCCCGAAGTTCGGGGAAGTAAAAATGCTGGGTGCTCGCCTACTGCAGAGGCTCTCAGGGCCCTAACAAGGAAGCTGGTCCTCGAACTCTCTTAACCAGGCGGGTTTCAGATCGCGCTGGCTGCGCTGGCTCTGCTAATGCTTTGCACTTGGAACCACCGCGTGGGAAAGATGGTTCGACGGCTCCTTCCTTCAAGGGTAACTCAGGCCCTTTGAATTAAGATCACGTAGTGCTGAACTGAAGGAACAGGGCCTGAACTTCCTCTGACCCGGCCGGAGAGCCCCAGGGGGCGCAAAAGGTGCCTTGGGACCTTGGTGCAAGTGGGCTGAAACTCTGAAACCTAAGCCAGTGAGGCCTGGCTCAGAGAGGCAGGGAGCGGAGGGGGTTGGGGGCAATGACACTTTCCCCAGGAATGGTGAGATGGTTGGGAGGGCAGATAAATGATCTACTACTCCGCAGATTTATTATTTTTTTTAAAAAGTCAGGGTGGTGATGATGTTGGACAAGGCAGCCACAATTGTTTAGAGGATATTTTGCAAAAAATCCTCCTGCTTTTGCCTCCAAGTTTGGCAGGAAGCCAGGCAGCATGAGTGAGCTTGCGGTCTTAAAGGTACATGGACGGCATTTTCTTAAGCTCCTCAACACGCGGGTGTCAAGCCGTATACATTAAGGTTGAGTTATGGTTTAAAAGATACAATTATGAGCCGAGCCAGAAAAGAGGCCTGACGTTTTAATGAGGCACAGGAACTTTTTTTTAAAAAAAAAATTTAAGAAAAAGTTTAGTTTCTGATTAAATAGCTGCTTAGGTAGCTGGAGAACTTAGAAAAAAAAAGAAAAAGAGGACAGTTTTATTGAGTGGAAATTTGAACAAAGAAAATTTACCTTTTGTATACCAACCACCAGTTTAGTAAGAGAGTTAAAACTTATTTGGTTGATGGTGCTATTATATTCCGTTTTCAAAAAGGGAAATGGTGTTTTTTTCCACAGACACTGTTGCAGGATATCCCTGAATATTTTTTTCAAATAATGTTTTGAGATAACCGATAACTTAAATATCTTGTACAAAGTTCATGCTAAAAAGCTTTTGGGATTTAAAAAAAAAATCTACTCATGAAGAAACAATTTAATAACAGCTAACTTTTGTTATTACTGTCATATTTCATTGTGACCCATATAGGAAACAGGATAGTATGAAACATTTTTTTAAAGAAATAATAAACAAGTATTTGTTGAAACTTATTCCATCCTATTTGTCCAGAATATTTAGCTTTCTTGAAGTTCTCTGTATTTCCCTACTTGATTATTCAGAGTTAAGATCACATTTACACTTTTAGTCTTGGTCTTATATTCCTGTATATATATTTGATTATTACATGAGATGATTTTGTTCTATTTGAATGCTGTATGTTATTAAAAAAAAAGTCCCCCCTGTCAAACATAAACACATAAGCCAGTTTTCAGTAACTATTTTGAAAACATGTATCAAGACAAAAATATCTGAAGAAGACTGCCATTGGTTTGAAAAATTGCCTTGGTTACCCTGGATATGCTTTTCTGCTATTCTCATTCTGAGGGAAACAAAAGTAGGAGGGGAAATGGCAAAGCATGAACTCTGGTCCATACTCCATATCTGTATATCTATATCTGTATCATCTATATCTATCTATATCTATATATCTCTATACCTGTATCTAGGGTTTACTTTTTAAATGGCTAAAAAAAATTAATCACAGTATGAGACCTGTATCACCTCAGATGACTAATGTGTTAATTTATAAGCAGCATTATGAAACAATTATGAGGGGGGCAAAATTAGAACATGTTTAATGTGATTAACTTATCTCTGATTTAAACCACTAGAAAGTTTGAGATCTTCCTAAACAAACTAAACACCGTCGCTATCAAGAGTTGATTTTTTCCACACTATGAAACAAATTTATGCACTCTCATATGAAATTGGTGGGTGAACAATAATTTGATTTCTTTTAAAAATGCAACAATAAGATGTATAATTTTATTGACAAGGCCATAATGCTTAAGAAAAAAAAAATAGTAAGGCATTCTTTCACAGCTTTGCTTGAGAGAAACAAAGGAGCAAGAACAAGATAAAGTTTGTTTTTAACAAGTGTGAGAAAATAATTTACCTTTGTATATAGCTCAATGAAAATGAAAATTATAAATGCATGCAGTTATATATTTTTGTGAAGACTGACCTGAAAAAAAGGTCCCTATAGTGCTCTCTATTTAGTCTAGAAATATCAGGACAAGGAATATTTTTCAAGACATACCTGCTTACTGTCACAGTCATTGCCTGAGAGCTTAAATAACCACTTTCTCTGGAGCTTTCACTCTGAAAGCCTATCCCTGCCCATCAGCTGGTTGCTAGTTCTTTGTTTCTGTGTGGTAAGGACTTTGGGAATAGTTGAGCTTCTTATGTGCACAGTTAATACACTAGTATCCCAGAAGAAGATCAACTAAAAGTAGTATAACTTTCTCTAACTGTGGCATAATAACTTATATTTTAGCCTTGACTGACGAAATAGTTATGTTCCCCCTCCTTGTTCCCTCCCACCACCCTGTAATTCTTTCAGATCAGTTCAGAAATTTGATATTTAGAATGCAGAATGGAGTGAGTTCAGTGATGTGATGAGTTCTAATACTGTCATAAATCGTGGAGGGAATACCTAGCCACGGTTCAAGTGTCCTTTCTCACATATTCTGCTTATCATTGTAACATCTTTCTTATCAGAGATGCAACTTTATATGTATCTTGACCTGTGAGTTAGGGAAGAAGCTCAGGGAGAATCATTGACAAACAAAATCCAAAACGAGTTTTACACTCTACATTTTCACAGAATTTGCCTAATCTTGGGTGGGGTTAGTGGTTTAGAGAGCAAACAGAAATGTATTCAATCAACCAGGATATATTGGCATGACAGTATTTCACACCTTTTCACTGTGTCTCATTAGATTATTTGGAGCAGCAACTCTTAATGCTGGACTCCACTAAGGACAATAAAGCTCCATGAGGAGTGAATGAGCACAGATCTGAGCCCCTTAACTCTATATGCCTGTTTTGTAGAACACAAGGCGTATAGTGTACAATGATGTTTTAAAAATTTGTCCTCCAACTAGAAAATAAGAGACTTGCTTTAGGGAAGGGCTGTTCAAAACCAAGTTTGGCAGGACTAAAAATAGTTTGTTTTCTCGTGTCATTGCTGTTTTTGGTATTCCATTAGTAAGCATGCACAAAGCCCTGTAGGATCCAGAAGTTTATGGCTGTTGTATCCAGAAACGGTTATCTGCTGCAGAAGCTCAAATGCACCGAGTGGGGGAGGTCTGAGGTTTAGATTTTCAAGGAGTATTTGAAATATGACTATACCAAGTGATTGCCTCAGTGAATTATTTACCTTTGAGTAGTTAAAAACCCCTTCTTTTCCTGTTTCTATCACTTTGCTTTTTTAAAAGGTGGCATTTTATAATTCAAAGGAAAAGGCCAGTTCCACAGGGTTATCTAAAAGAAAACATTTTCTGCCCCCAAACAAAAATTAGGGTGATGGTTTGTTTTGTTTTTTTTTAAGGTGGCAAATAGTAGCCACACATACCTTGCATACATGGATTTGCAGGTAGATGATGTGGTGAGAGGACCCTAAATAGTCCCAGCACGGTGGGAATCCAAGGTACAATAATCAGAAATGCTGTCAGATTCCTCTTCCCAGCTAGACTTCTTTATGTATTTGTTTTGATGTTCCCGGTACTTTAAGTTATTGATGCAAGTGCATTTTTTTCCATTGATTGTCTCATTATATCCTGCCACAGCTACGTAGATTTGATAAACAGCCCTTTCAGTTCATGCTTCTTCATTGGTAGATGCACACATTTTTAGTATATCAATAAGTTCTTAAAGAATTCACTAGGCCAGCCGAGAGGTTTTTTTCATATGTTAGAAGGAACAAACAAAAGACAGCAAGTTTTTAGGCAGGAGCTCTATTTTAGCAGCTTTTCTTCTCCTTTGGTAACATGTCAAAAATGCAGGTGATTTAAATTTCCTTGCACATAGAGGAATGAAGAAGTTTGGAATTTTTATGCATGATCAGGACCTGTGTTTGGGAAAATGTAAACTCATCACAGTGGAAAATGTGTTGTTTGGAGTCTGGGGGTGAAAACAAAGCTGATGGTTTTGGAGAGACTGCCGGAGCCAGATGGCCTAGTACTTCCCCAGTCTGGCGGTCCAACTGCTCCCTCCTGGATAATATACAGCCATTTGTTCGGGGATATTTACGCTAGAGCTGTTTCCATGTGAATGTTTGAATAGCATTAAAAACGAACATATTAGTAGTGATGCATTTATCAAACTTGTATGACTGCACCAATAGTCTCTTCTATCTTCACCTATATTGTTGGGAGGGATCAAGGAGTGGCTTTAGATATTGGTGAATTATACATAGAGTTACTGAATAAGAACGACTTGGGCTTAGTAATTAAAATATGTAAGCATTTAGAACCAAGCTGGTGGAAATAATGGTAGCCCCTATCTTCAAGTACTGTTGTGAGAATTAAATGAATTAATACATGAAAAGTGCTTTGAACAATAACTGGCACATATTAAGTGCTTAATAAGTTAGCTACTCTTATTATTTATTATTATTATTTTTACTCTATTGGGTTGAGAAAGTCAATTGTATCTATTAATATAGATGTAAATGCAGTTACTATATGAGTGAAATGTCTTTATTACTGTTACTGGAAGAACTATAATATGGGATTGTTGGAATGATTTCGTTTTATCTTGGTCTTCGAGTAGTAGAAGAGATTTTAGGGGTTTGAGACTTAACAGATTGCATTGTAAAGCTAACTGCTTTGGGTATGTATTCTTTTTTTTAATTCAAAGCTGTGATGTAACTGAACAGCATGCTGAATATGATATCATTCCTTCACGACTTTCCTAATTCACCTCTG